CTTCACCGTTTGTTGTATTGTCTAAACATACTTAGGAAGTACATATAATCGACAAGAGTCCCATTGGTACTTGTCAGGTTTGGATCCAAATACCTCAAGCATAACATCCGACGCGAGCCACCACTGCCACATTATTTTATTTCATTACAACGAATTTCCACTGTCTTACCTACTCGGCCCTCTTTAACGCAGAAACCGAGGAAGGATCTCAGTCTGCTTGGAGACCATTAGATCTACGCTATACCTACAAACAAGATTTAAAAGTTCTTTTAAAAGCTGTTTACACTCAAATGAGTCTTGTCTTATCTCTAAAAGGCTTTTTACGATGTCAACTCCAAATGCAGGAAACGTTTCAACGCACCTGAGATATACCGATATAATAAAGCACACGTTGTCTTTTTTAAAGCGTGTAGGGTGGGGTAACTTTGTAAATTATTGGCTCTATAACTTTCTGTGCAAGATCCTAACAAGAGGTTACTTCATTGAGCAATAGGCTGATCTATAATGCATTTTGTATTATAATCCAGCGTGGAACAACAAAAAAATTGAAAGTTGTAAATACAAACGTAAAAGTATTGTTTTTTTTGTGAGGGGAAGGTCATAATATGATTTCTCCCGCCCAAGAAAGGGCTGGCTAGACGGTGTGTCAGACTCTTAATGGCTATAAACCCTCGTTTCTCCTCCTGCTCTAAGCAGAGGCCACGGTGCCTTATTGTACCTACTTAGCAAAGCAGTTAGAAGACTTCTGGTAATAAACTGAAGAAGGAAATCCCAGTCTATTGCCATTGACAATCTATTTCTTCCGTCGGCTAGGCAATGAAAACACATGAGACATGGTTTAGCTTTTCTATGCGTAGATACTAGCTTCCGCCCGCGGCTTCGCTCGAGTATAAATAAATGTTTCCCGTAATGGTTACAAGTGATAGCTCGATTAAAGTTCGCTAATCAAGTGTAATTTATAGCCTATAGCACTCGGAAAACAAAAAAAAACCAGTGCTAAAAGACAGACATTGGAAAATCCCTATTTCCATATTTAAAAAGATTCTATCACATTTGCAAGTACTAGACTTAGATTGAAATAAAACTATGCAAAACTCATAAAAGGCAATATGTCCAGGCAATTTAATGACGAACTAAGGAAGCCAGTTGTCTTGGCAACCAGCCAGATGTCGTTGACTGCGATTCATTGGCGCCAGTCCTGGTCGGAAACTAAACGCATTTTTTTTCCATTTAAGACGCGCGTATTTTTAACTGAAGAGTTTAGTTTAAAGTTGTTTAGTTAACTTTGAGAGTTAGTTAGTGTTACTTTGAACTTTTTATTATTTCAGTACTTAATGTTTTTCATGTGTTATGATATATATTAAGATTGGAAGTCTTAAAAGAAACTCACAGATACGTATTATGGATAGTTAAATGTTGTTGGTTTTATAACGAAAATAGAGTAACAGAGTTACCTTAAAAATTACTACATCTTCGTATTTGGAAGCTAGTTTAAAAAATAGCTTTGATTTTTATGATTTTTAAATTTGTCTGTACGTTTTACGCATGTGGATTTTTGAGATGTTGGGTCCGAGAAGTATGAGAATTATTATGAATATTTTTTTTATGTAATAGTTCGACAAACGAGCAGACGGATTACCTGATGGTAAGCAATCAGCGCCACCCGTGGACACCCGCAACGGAGGAGTTACGAGTACGTTGCCGATCTTTTAGGGATAAGGGATTTGGAGACTCAGGGTTTGAGGAGGGATTGGGGGAAGGGAAGGATTGGGCCTTCGGTAACCTCACTCACACGGCGAAACACAACGCTGTGGTTGTTTCACGCCGGTTTTCTGTGAGGCCGTGGTATCACTCCGGTCGAGCCGACCCATTCGTGCCGAAGCATGGCTCTCCCACACTTAAAAATGTTATTATGAATGTTTCATTAATTTTTTTTGTTTAATTTACCTATAGTTTTACCCGGTAAGCGCGTAATGTGTGGGAGAGCCGTGCTTCGGCACGAATGCACGGCGCGACCGGAGTGATACCACGGCCTCACAGAATACCGGCGTAAAACAACATTTACGTTGTATTCCGCCGTATGAGTGGCGTAACCGCGAGACCAATTCTTCCCCTTCCATCCTCAATCCCCAAATCCCCTATCCCTAAATCCGTAACAATTCACTTATATGGCCTCGACTAAGGCCTGGCGCGAGAGGTCGCCGCCGATCACTTCCCTGAGGACGCGGCGGTGCTCAGCCCAGGCAGGGCATACCGCCACCGTATGCTCTACCGTAATCTGTGATGCCGTGCCTGCCTAATTATCGTTCCAGCGCCACTGAGAATAAGTGATCAGCTTAGTCAACAGAGAATAGACTAAACTACAAACGTACTGGCTGTCTAGAGAGCCTGTTATACAACCAATTTCAACCAAATAGATTTGTTACTACCAATATCGAATCTTACCACAAACCACAATCGAGACAAGGTGCGCCGACAACTATAGGCCTAATCATAACACAAACATAAAAACTTATTCCATTGCCGATGGATATTGCGCAGTGTCTATGGCAAGTATGGCGGCCAGCTCACAGCTGTTTATTTATTTATCGGAAGCTATCTCTGCGATCCGACTTTGTTTACGTAAAATAGGCCGTTACCCCGGCCCGAAGTCAGTATGTCTGTGTTTTTGTACAAGTATTTTTGATTTTTATGAGTTTATTGGCAATTATTTCATTTACGTCAATAGGTACGCAATTAAAAGGCTGTTTGGACACTAGTTAGTCATTCCGTTCTACAGCTAGTCATGGGTTATTGAACTGCTTCTTGTCAATGCAGGGCATTAATATTACGCACTTTAGGACAGCAACAGACGTGAGGAGCTGGTTAAAATGATCTATATCTCTTGGCTAGATCAAGCAATTTGATTTCTAAATCAGAAAAATATTATCAACGGCCTAGTCTAGACCAAGGGCCTATTTCACTATGAAACCTCATTTTAATGTTATGTACAATCCCGAGCGTACGGCGCGTGGCGTTACGCGCGCGCCTCAATGGGCCAATAGACCTCCACAGACGGGCTGATGTTCAGCCGAGGTCGCGGGCGATCAGACACCGCGGCGGCCTCGATCCAGAGCAAGAGAAGGAACAGGGGGTTTAGATTTAGTTAGTAAGAGTCTGACACTGCCTCCAGCACGACCGTGGGCGGAAGAAATCTTTTGATGATTTTGCCCTCAGAATAAAAAAGTACAATATTCGGATATTAAAAGCCATAACCGAAAATATACAACGGAAAAAAGGTCTTTAATTTACATGTGCATAAGTCATTAGTTCCGATTCTGATCACGCAAGTTGGTGGCGCTGTACGTGATTCATCGTTTTATTTCCCAGACGAATGGTGAAAGTACAGCACCATTATAGTTACTTATTGCGTTTTAAGTATTCTAGACGAAAGTCAGTGATCTTTAACCCGGCACGTCATTCTGCACGTTTATGTGAATAACCGCTAAATCTGCTCACCTCAAAGTGAAACAGGGCGTAAAGATAAGTAATACACAGTAGTGTTGCATGTCAAGGATAGATGGCGCTGTTTTATAATTTCGCAAGCTGATTTTTTACCAAAAGTAAAACAGTTTTTTTAGTAATGTTACAATTTATGCAAACTCAATTAGAAAAAAATATTCTGATTGAATAATAAATAAAAATCGAACAACTTAAGAATTTCGATTAAAATTCAAAACGTCTACATTTCCCAAAATAGTAACAAATCACCACAGACGCCAAATAAAGACAAAAAAAAACATCAATTCTTAGTACGCTCGATACCAGTTTATTCAAATATAGAATTTAAGTGTGTACGAATAAGGATTTATTTAAAACAAGTTCAATAAAGGAGGTGTTCTATAAAATTGCCTTTACTCGAACGCAAGACGAAAATTAGGAATGTTGTCTATTCTTGTAACGGATGACAAAACGAAAATGGCTGTTCGGGATTGTTTCATTGTGAGAACTATTTTCATTCCCGCCACACGCGACGTTTGTTTCGTGCATCGCTACCATTTATTTCTTGTGATATATTCTCTATTCGTAGGGAAATGCAGATAATAAATAACTTAGTCTCAGAAAGAACGAGATCTCACCGTTTACCGTAAGGATCATTGATTGATTGCATTTGCCAGATCACGGTTGAACCACATTGTTAGAATTAAATTAATTAAAATAACCATAACTTTGATAACGCTGTTGGGCAGTGGCGTCCCCACGGACCTGACTGGCTTGAGTGGAGATTCGCAAGAGTAGGCAGGAGTTGAAGAAGACTCGGGGGAAAGATGTATCTCAGTAAGGTGCTGGTAGGGGTCTTGACCGTACTTCCGGGATTGCTCTGATAGCCGTGGGATGCCTCTCCTTCCCCAAGCAGCTCAACGTATGTTGCCCCCGTGTCGCTACATGCTAGCGGCCGTTTCCGAGGGCCCATTAATTGAGATTGCCAGCTACCCCCTGCCTGTTTATCCGTATGTATCAATACCTATTGGTCAAGGGCAGGGGCCATAGTGTCTCTATTTGGCAGTAAATTCTTTGTAATGTTATAGATAGACATATCGTTTTAATTTTAAGAAACAGGGTATTTTGTTGTGCCCAAGAGGAGCGCTTTTCTCGTGGATAATGGCATGAGCTCCAAACCAGGCAAGTACTAGTGTGGCTTTTTCCGAGTTATATGTACTTTCTACGATTATTTAGACACCTCTGGAATATGTTGAAAGACGACAACATGATTTTGATTTTGATTTTTGATTTTGCACGGTGGGTGGGTTGGCTGCCGCGCAACGTGTCGCGGATTGGGTTCCCGTACAAAACAACTTCTTGTGCTATTCACAAATTGTTGTTCCAGATCTGGGTGTGGTTTGTATATTTGTAAACGCATTCACGACTCACGATATATTATAAAATACAAAAATGAAAATCAGTTTAATTAAGAAAGCGTAGTGCTCAAGGCTGATTGACGGTTTATCATATTATGATTAATGCTCAAACCTTCTCCTTGTGAGAAGAGGCATTTGCTTGGCAGTAAACACATAAAAGATGACGATAATATTGATAATGAGGTACTGTTTGGTGTCGCTTTAATTTCTCCCGAGAAAAATGGCGCAACCAAAGTTTTCTAAATGATTCGAAACGCATATTTTTTAATATCGCAGCTGCACCACTAGGTATTGTTCTTATTAATAATGATCCAAAAAAAAAAACGAACAATGAAATATATAAAGATTCTATCACGGATTTGTTTCACCGGATCAGGTGTTCTCTCAACATTCCGCAGACCAGACTCGTTATAATTTATTATTCATTTGTTATATAACGTGGACCTTATCGAACAATAGCCAAATTATACCTAGACTAGACTATTAATTCCGGCAAAGGTCACTGGTCCTATTTTTATAAGCTTTTTTATTTTGTTGTTCACTTTCCAGCGGTAGCACCCAGTATATTTTTGGAAACCTATTTAGAATTTAATTCCATTATTTGCTATTTGCAAATTTTTTGTGGCCAACATTTTACATTTGATTGTGGTAGTGTATTATGGGCCCCATTATAAGGTCGATGTCCAGCCAAGTTATGCATGCAAACGAAATGATATCTATTCCGCAACCCGGCTCAAAACAGACGAAGGAACGGGGTGGTTTTTAATCAGTAAGAGTCTAAAACTCGCTCTCATCCCACCCGGGTGCTCGGGTCTGCGGACGGCGAGTAAGGGTAGCTCGCCGCCCGACAAGAACCAGACCCGAGCGTAAGGCGAGTAACGTTCCACTCAGGCCTCAAAGAGCTAGACTACCACAGATAGAGCCCCATAGGGCTGATGTTCAGCCGGAATTCCGGGGCAAGCGCAATAAGGCACCGCGACCTCGGCTTCGGCCTAGGGCAGGAGAAGGAATGGGGGGGTTGTAGCTAGTACGAGTCTGAGACTGCCTTTAGCTAGCCCTCCTCACAATAAAAAAGCCACTGGGGTCTGGATAAAACATATGTTGAATTTCCCCCCTCAAATTAAGCTTATGTTATTTAGTATTGTAGGCCGTGGAGTTACATGTAATGTTTTGTGGCAATGGAGGGTCCATTGTCATTATAATGGTTAATGACAATGGACCCTCCATTGCCACAAAACAGGCAAGATATCAGATTCCATGCTACGTACAACAAAGAATTTTCCAAAAAATAGAATATCAATATTGCTTTGATCGACCTGGAAATAGGATCCTGGCTCGCTACTCAGACTTGGACCACTCGATCAACGTCTCAGTGAAATCTCCTAATTGGTATAAAATCAAGTTTATTATCACCACGTAAATCTGACCATCTTGTGTCTGATCGGTAGATAAGCACCAGCTAGTTGTTCCAAATGATTGAGATAAGTGACCAGTTTCGACGGCTAGTTTATTGACGACGTGGAAAAATACCTACCTATTGACGATTAGTAACTGTCCGAAGCAATATAAAGTGATAGATGTTGTTTCAACTTGTTTCTAGAAAGATTTTAGGGTTAGGTGTATAATATAATATAAAAAAATAATATACTTACTCGATTATAGGGCAAACTTAGGGAAAGGTAGCCTATGTGTTATTCCTGACTATAATTGTTAGCATACATCCTCCTTATACAAGTTTCGTCTTTATGAAGATTATTCATAGACAATATAGATATGTATATTCATTTTGCTTATATAAAAAAAAATGTCATAAACTTTTTCCACCTACCATTATTAGTAAAATAAAACTACAATACATCGAACAAGTATTTTAGTAAATATACACATACACAACAATAATAATATATCTACGCCAATTTTCATCATAATCCATTCCGTAGGATTATTGTAAAAAAATAATTGATCCATCCAAGTTTCACTTAAAGGATTGAACATTTACTAACTAATAGCTATAGACTACTATAAAGTCTGAATTTTAGAAAAGCAGTCTTCTACTCTTTATGGGATAGAAGGCACGCGTCACTCATAGAAACTCCAAAGGAGGAACAAGAAAGAAGTAACGTAACATTAAAAAGGTTAACTCAATATCACTATTAATGCCCTTGACCATCATTTGCGAGTATGTGCGTTATACTAATATTAGAAACAGATCAACCAAATAAAATATTTATGTGATCTTAACCTTCAATTAAAAAACTTGTTCTGGAGAATTTATCTACTTCACAAAGAGTTAAACATTTTTGATTGTGTTCGTATAGTTTTTGGACTACCTCAATGATGGCATGGTCGCAACTACGAATAAAGATTTCTTGAAAAGAAATCTTGGACGATACTATTATTAATTTATGATGATGATATCAGGCAATCTTACCGCCTTCTTGTTTATTTTACGATCGCTAAGAGCAAAGAGCTCTTCTCACGCGGAGGTTTTGAGCACGCCTGATCAAGGCAGATTTGAGATTCCAAACTTCATCATCATCATCATCAGCCTATAAGTGCCCACTGCTGAGCAAAGGCCTCTTCTCACACGGAGAAGGTTTGAGCATTAATCACCACGCTTGCTCTGTGCGGGTTGGCGATTTCAAACTTATAATTATAAATTATAAGTCCAGGTTTCCTCACGATGTTTACCTTCACCGTATATCAGATTTCAAACATAGAATTTACAAATTACCTATAAGTACAGATATCCTCAGTATCATTGGCTTCTTACGGTATGTTAGTTGTCTTCGTAGTCTTCTTAGAATTACAAATAGCTTGGAAAAAGTTACATTGACTTATACAAGGGCACCCTCTTGTATGAGACCCGGGCGCCTAAAACTCCGGGCCACCACCATCCTACGTTACGGCTAGTCAGAAGTTAAAAACCTAACTACGGGTCTAACAAATCTAACAAAATCACCCTTCAGTACTTTTAGTAGTTTCATAAGACAGATGGCACTGTTTGCTAAAAGCTGAGTAAGTTTATCCCTTGCATTTATGAAAAAACCAAAATGCTTTATATTGTTTTAAAAATAGTAATATTTCCCATGGCTTGACTGATACAAAACGACTTAGCCATTAAGTCCGCCTATATACCCTATGTGTAAGTATGAAGTTTAAATAAAGAAATAGATAATACTAGCTTTTGCCCGCGACGTCCGTTCGCGTGGAATAGTGATTTCCTGCAAGTTTTTGGTATAAAAACTATCCTATGTCCTTTCTCGAGTTCCCAACTATGTCTGTACCAAAATTCACAGAATCGGATCAGTAGTTTAGGCGTGAAGAAAAGACAGACAGACAGACAGAGTTACTTTCACATTAATAAAATTAGTTTGGAATTATTGAAAATAATCTGTTGTTCTTTCCTCCTTTAATGAACTTTCTCAATATTGAGACACGGCGAGACTGCCTGACCTTCCTCTCTTGTCATGTACTTGTTCACATAACAACTGACTCATTTGCTTATCAAACCGTCTCCTACATAACTTATATTACATTGTTACAGACACATCGATGTATCTGTAATAAAGGAATTTATTGTTCTGTCTGTTTATTTTCTTTTAGAGTTAATGTTGTAGTTTTTGGAAAAAGAACTTGTAATTCGTAATTTTATTACGTATGATATATATTTGTTAGGTACTTATTTTGGAATTAAAACGTGGATGTTTTGTTCATCTATACTAATATTATAAAGAAGTAAAATTTGTAAGTTTGTATGTAGGGGGTAGGTAATCTTTGGAACCGCTCGCTGGTCGGATTGCCAAAATTCTTTCACTGATAGATAGCTACAATGTTCCTGAGTACTATAGGCTATAAAACATTACGCGACAATTAAATGGAGGCGAGAAGCGGGTGAAACTGCGCGAGAGTAGCTAGTAGGTACTTTATAATAATATTATCTTACTTTGATATGTAAGTAATTGTCGATAAGTTTTATAATATGTTGGCCACCACTAGAAGGGTAGGTAAGGTTTGTAGGAAAAAAACTGAAACGTATCGTAGATACATTTTAAAATAATATTGATCAGCTAAACGAACCAAACTAGGTACTTAGGGTTGAGAAGAAGGAAAACACGCTACCCTCAGGACTTAAGAAACTGGTGGCCAAGGCGCGGAAATTCCGTCAGATGCGCTAACATTTCAAAAAATTCTAGAAAAATCTCGTAATTTTTCTAATAGTAAGTACAGTTTGTATTCATTAGAAGATTTTTTCGCCTACATATCGTACTTAGTTAAAGCCTTAACTGTTTTTGAGTTACGAATTCCAAGAGCCCAATCAAGAGTATTAAAATAATTGCGATCAAACAAAAAACAAGCAAATCAGTGGGCAAAAACTATATCTAGGTATGCAAGTTATGAACTTGTAACTCATTTCTTATTAAGAGTAAACTTGTTTATTTTATATCATTATGTCCGTCAGATACCTCTCGGAAACGACGTGCGTATAAAATAAATATTCCATATATAAAAATACGCCATTTTCAAATTTTAAACCATAAAGTAAAGTGTAGTGGTAAAGATATTCTCAAAAAAAAAACTTTTAACAATTTATAATCGATAAATAATAGAACGTAATTTAAAAAAAAAAAACATTCAAATAAATATTCTGGACGGTTCCAGATTTAAATTCTCAGAAATATTTTGTAAACTAGCTGTGGATTTTGGTGTTGTTTTTTTTATAACCTAGTGAGGCAACCGTGTTGGGCAACCAATTGAATAATTTGGTCCTAGTCTGAGGTCCAAATTCACTGATGCAGCGTCTACATTATTGTTCAGTGGACCTTCGAAGTGTGCTAACGTTAGTGTAAAGATTCCATTGACTAATATTCGGATCGGAAAGTTATCGTAAGTATTCTGTTTGTTTTGCAACATCTTGTTTACAACGAAACGCAATTTGTAGGTATATTATCTGTTCCAGAGATAGTTTCGCATCCTTGAACAGTAGGTAATATACCTACTAAAGTGAGATTGCTTTTTAATTTTAATATTAAATGTTTAATTACTTTACTGATAATAACTATATGATTGTAAGTGAAAGAGAAAAAATATCAATATTATTATAGTATTTCGACTTTCTATTTAAATTAAGTTTAGATAACGGTACTTCTTAATAAATGTGTGATATTGTTATATACTTATTATATCTTTTGAGAATCAATTTTTAGTCATTCTTACTAGGAGATAGACACAACAAAAAAATACATCAAAAACATCGACATGTACTATAGCAGTTGCACAACACTATCTGCCTGCATTAGTTACAATTATAAGTAGTTACAATTTTTAACATAAGCCACTTTGAAAGAAGGATCTAGTCTCAACGCCATTGTCTATGAATTAAGAGACATTTTCAACACAGAAAATAGTCAAAAATGATTATTGTTACTGCATTACCACTGGATTAACATTATTGGTTTATCTGGATTTTACATTTTTTATTGAAGTACAATATTAAAATGGCTTCCTTAAGATACCTTCACCAACTTTTTCGGTGTTATGTGTATAACTCGTTAAAATATACGGACGAAAATTGAACTCTAAGTCCATCAGTTAAATAGATAAAAAGTTTGACAAGTAGACAAGACACGTAGATATTGTTTCATTTTGTGTTTTACATGTAGCATAAACAATATTTATATAAAACTAGCGGCCCGCCCCCGCTTCGCACGGGTCCTACTATCTCGCTATCAAAGGGTCACTTTTTATTAATCATTCCCTCTACTTTTCTAATATTTTCTTTGATAAGAACCTTCTCCTGACAATAACAAACAAAACAAAAAAAGAATTATCAAAATTGGTCCAGGCGTTGTTGAGTTATGCGCTTACCAACACATTTTGCGATCCATTTTTATATATAAGAAGATATAAAGATGATGAGAAGTGTGAAAGCGCTACGTCATCGCTTCCTACTTAAATCATTGACGTTCTACGATGTTCCAAATCAATATATTATCGTCAAAAGTACTTAGGTACTTGATTCAGTAAGAAAAAAACAAACGTGTGGAGAAAAAATGTCATCGACCCTTCTACCGGAGCATTTATGTACCTATTCTTTTTTTCGGAAAATCATTACTGACTCTTACTGAATAAACCCATCCCCTTCCTTCTCCTACTCCGTGCCGGGGTCAGGGTATGACTGCACATGCATCTGCAACGCCGGTCGAAATATTTATTAACATTCTGTATTAAAACAAAAACTTTCAATACACTAGTTTCCAACTAGTCAAATTCAATACTTTTATCCAAACGTCAAAAACGATACCTACTTTTCTATGAAAATTTGTATGAAAAACTGAATTATGACGTCACAACATTTTTGCGTCAAATAGCTTACTTATTTCTTAATAATTAGCTAAAAAATCTTAAATTTAGTGTACCTATCGATCGAATGATGAATAAAAGTAACTACGGTTATTTTTCAATACATATTTTATTGTATTGAAACGTCGAATTAATTAATTTTTTTTTTGACATAAGAAACTACCCAGTTACATAGGTTGCCTGAAATAGAACGGTCAAATCCTAAAACGAACTTTACGAATAAGCTTCGATCTTCGAAAGAGATACTATCTATAAGAGGGTACAGCTAAAAACAGCTCTTCCTCTGCCAAACAGAAGGAGAAGATACATAGCTAATTTCTATCCTATCCAACCAACTCAAGTACAAAATTCATATCTGCAAGAATTGACTTGAAAAAGTGTTGGAGGGCGATACTTCGGCACGAATATGTCGGCTCGACTGGACTGATTCCATGGCCTCATAGAACAGCTGGGGTTGCGGGGTAAGCGCAATGAGGCACCGCGACCTCGGCTCAGAGCAGGAGAAGAAACAGGGGGGTTTTTAGTCAGTAAGAGTCTGACACTCCATCCCGCCCGGCCCTGGGCGGGAGAAGTCATTTAATGATGTTCCCCTCACAAAAAAAAAAACGGCCTCATAGAAAATCAGCGTGAACTAATTACTGCGTTCTATTTCGCCGTGTGAGTGAGATTACCGTAGGCCCAATCCCTTTCCCTCTCCCAATCCTTACCTATATCACCGAAAGACTAATCCCAAAATGCCGGCAACGTACTCGTAACTCTTTTAGAGTTGCTGGTTTCCATGGTAATCCGTCAGCTCTTATAAAAATACATAGGTATCACATAAAAATACAAAACTTTTCCTACTTCGAATTACGGACCAGATACTTCTTGTTCTAGTTAACCAACGAAGCTGCTTAGGAACCTACTTATAAGATGTTATTGCATAATATTAAAGTATCTAACATCAGTATAATAACAGACCTCCTCCTCTGCCAGTTAAAGGACCGCGTGTATAACACGTGACCAATAAATGTAACATGCGTATTTTTAACTTAAACACGTCACAACGTTGCTGTTGATCCGATGAATGGAGTCTTAACTACTCCGTTGTTACTCACAGAAACTTTCTAGAAAAACTTAAATTCATTACCTATTGGACTGTTTATTTGTTGCCATGGTTACGATAAGTAAGATTAAGATGTAGCGTAAGTAGTATTGTCGACTTTTTACCAAAAAGTTTGCTATTTTAACAGTTTGATCATTGGCAACACGCAGTTCTAGCAATTACTGTTCAGACACAAAAATAATTACCTTCTTAATATCGTCTGAACTTTTTCCAAAACTTCCTTAAAGTCATAGCCACCATTTTTTAGCTTGTAACACGAATCACATAAAATAGCTTAACGCCTAAAAAGTTGTTAGGTCCCTACGGTTGAGAGACGATTGCCGACCACCGTAAGCGCGGGTCTGGCCCAACCAGAACCAGACCCGAGCGTATTGCGCGTAGCGTTCCGCGCGCGCCTCAAAGAGCCAATAGACCACCACAGACGGGGCCCTATAGGGCCTGATGTTCATCCGTTTGCGGTTGCGGGGTAAGCGCAATGAGGCACCGCGACCTCGACCTAGAGCAGGATGATCCTAATGGAGGGAATTTTTAGTCAGTAAGAGTCCGACACTAACTCCGACTAGGATATGCGACCTCTTCCTTTTTCCTTTAACGTTGGGCTAATGTTGGTTTTCAAGTATCTATTTCATGTAATTTGATCAACTAACTATGTACAATTAATATAATATAAGGCATATTAAGATTTGTTTTTTTTTTTTATAGCGAGACTGAGGGCAATGATCTCATTTTTATTGCCATCCTGTGGAGTCTGATGTAATAGTTAAATATATTGTGATATTTTTATAATAACTATCGTGTGACATACTAAATTAACTAAAAATCGCGGGTTACTCACGTGTAAATATTGAGAAAAGCTCTATTAGTTTCAAACCACAGAGGGGTTCTTCCTCATGAGCAGCGTACGCGGACGCGGCGACGTCGCGCAGCCTCAGTAGGCTTAGTAGGCTCAGTAGCTTATATTGTGATAGTTGTGAAGTACCACCATAACACTTGAACAACTAATAATAATATTAGGGATGTAATGGATATAAAATTTCGGATACAGGAATGATTATTCCACTGACTACAGTTACTGATATGAAATTATTTCGGATTAGCTACTCCCGCGTGGTTTCACTCGCTGCTCGGTTCCATTTGATTGTAGTGTGATGTTTTATAGCCTATAGCACTCAGGAACATTGTAGCTATCTATCAGTGAACGAATTTTGGCAATCCGACCAGCGGTTCCAAATATTGCCCCCTACATACAAACTTACAAATTTTACCTCTTTATAATATTAAAGTAATTATAGTATATAGTATAGATAAGATTCCTCTTCATACAACACAATCAAACTAGCAGGCAGCCAGGTGCCATGGCAATTCAAATCATCAGATGATGATGTCAAAGTTGTCTTCACAGACCTTTCGTCGTTTGAGTGAGATTATGGATACAAGTGACCCAATCCTTCTTCCCCTCCCCCACCCAATCCCTAAATCTCCGAACCCCGAATCCCCAAAAGGCCGGCAACGCACTCGAAACTCAAGCGGCGAAACACAACGCTGTAGTTCTTTCACGCCAGTATATTTAAATACCAACGACCACGTCATAGGAAATGTGTCAACATGAAATCAGTTATCGAAATGATACTTCGTGAATTTGAACCGGTTACACTGCGGAACTATAGTCGGACCACTACATACTTGTATTTGGTTACATGTCTCATGCGCTGTGACCTTAGTCAAAGTTTTTGGTATTAGGTAACATTGTGTAAGAAGGTTTTCTTTTATGTAACAGGTCGGAAAATGAGGAGACGGATTACCTGATGGTAAGCAATCAGCGCCGCCCATGGACACCCGCAACGGAGGAGTTTCTCGACCTTTTAGGAATAAGGGATTTGGAGATTTAGAGGTTGGGGTAGGGGAAGGATTGGGCTTCCGGTAACCTCACTCGAACGGCGAAACACAACGCTGTCATGGTTGTTTCACGCCGGTTTTCTGTGAGGCCGTGGTATCACTCCGGTCGAGCCGATTCATTCGTGCCGAAGCATGGCTCTCCCACACTTACACTCACACTTGAGGAAGGAAAGGAAATTAAATATAGACTCAAAAATAGCACTACTACAACTTTAATTATTAATGTTAACTTTATTAAAAGAAACTAGCTTCAGCCCGCGTGGTACGTTGGCAAAAAAACAGCTTATGTATTAATTCAGGTTATCACTATCTACATACAAAATTTCAACCAAATCCGTCCAGCTGTTTTTGTGTATAAGAATAACAAACAAACACACACACATCCATGCATTCCCAAAACTTAGACATTCAAAGTATTAAGTAGGATAGTAGGAAAAGGGAATAATAAAAAATCTGTTTTACAAATACACGTCTTTTAGGTGCGTCAATAAGTCAAAATGTTTGCTAAAACGGTCAAAGATATCTGCTTGAAAATATTTTTACGCTAGCTATTCTCACGCGGTTTCACCCGCTGCTCGGCTCCATTTGATCGTAGCGTGATGTTTTATAGCCTATAGCACTCGGGAACATTGTAGCTATCTATCAGTGAAAGAATTTTGGCAATCCGACCAGCGGTTCCAAAGATTACCCCCTACATATAGACTTACAAATTTTACCTCTTTATAATATTAGTATAGATAAGATTCCTCTTCGAAAGAACATATATATTTTGTTAAGGTTATCCCATACAAAGACTTTCTCCTGTGTCGTAGGTACATATACATTCATATAGTTTCTCATTAACCTTAGACCAAGATCCCAAAAAGATCTGTTCCGTGCAGGAATTGAACTCTTCACACGTTGCACGGAATCTAGTTGCCCAACCACCGCGCCAACTGTGTAGTAGTAAGTAGATCTCACCACTGCCGTTCTAAATTTATTCGGTTTTGCGGTTTTTGAATACATATTATATTTTAAACAGACTGACAAAATCAGTCAGTCATTCCCTTCAGTTGGTCAGTGGTAGACTGGCGATCTATTTGCCAGATAATATCGAGTAAAGTGATAATAGTTATATATCTAATTTAAATAATTATATATCTAATTCAAAGGTAAAATTCTAATTCAAAGGTAAAATTTGTAAGTTTGTATGTAGGGGGTAATCTTTGGAACCGTCGGTCGGATTGCCAAAACTCTTTCAATGATAGATAGCTACAATATTCCTGAGTGCTATAGGCTATAAAACATCACGCTACGATCAAATGGAGCTAAGCAGCGGGTGAAACCGCGCGAGAGTAGCTAGTAGATATTATAAAGAGAAGATTTGTTTGTTTCTTTTAATTTAATAAGTTCTGGAACTGACATCATATCATCATCCTATAAGTGCTGAGCAAAGGTATCTTCTCACACGGAGACGGTTTGAGCAATAATCACCACGCTTACTCTTAAGCCGTTGGCATGGTTCTGGAACTTCTGGACCGATTTGAACGTAGGCTATAAACAACGTGGAAAAGCACGTCACAGCTAGTAAGGGGGCGTCGATAAATCACGTGAGGTGTTCTTTTAAATTTTCTGTTCCTCCCTCCTCCCCTGGTGAAATGTCGTGAGATTTTATTCAACTCCCTCCCCAACCCCCGAATCTCACGTGAGATTTTTCAAAATGTGAGTTTCTTACGTAAACGCGTTGGATTGTTATTGTAAAAAGAAAAAACTAATTTGTATCGTCCTTTTATGAGTAAATGATCTTAATCGTACTACGATTACGCTTAAGATTTAATCTTAAACGTGTACCATCTGGGTTAAATAGTTTTTTTTTTGTTTCAATCAGAAGAAAAAATGTTTTTCTACGAGCATCGCCTTCTATTCGAATGAGACTTATAGTCTATCTGGATTTTCCCATGTATGAATGATCTTTACTAAATGTACATTAATGTTAAAACCCAACTCATATACACACAAACACCTACCTACTAACTCAACCAACAACTTTTTTTTTTATTTATTTAATTCTTAACTTTTTTGTTTTTTTTTTTCTCTTTTATACAATGTGATGTAAATTAAGTAATTTAATATTATTTTATAAGCTAGTAATAGCCCTCTTTGCAACGCCTGAAAAAGGCCGTTAAGCTGTGCCTGTTATTTTAATTTAAGATCCTTGTACCCACCTTAACGTGCAAATAAAAAATTTGAATTTGAATTTAGTATCAATATTTTCTAGAATACATTGTGGCACATTTAAATGTTAAACAAATAAATAACTATCAAAAAGTTCCAAGTCAGTCTTTCTGTCCTGTAATAAAGCTATTTGTTCATTCAAAGGGGAATTTTCTATGGAATAATCGCTCTTATTGTCACTGGACTAAACACACAATTCTTATAAACTTACTCACCTAATTTTTTAAATTCTTGTTTTCCAGAAGATGTTGTCGTTGGAAGAGCTAGCTGTACGCCTGTTCGATGCCGGGGCGGTGCGCCTGGGGGACATTGAGGCCAAGATCGGCAGACGCACACCCATCTACTTTGATTTAAGAGTGGTCGTGTCTCATCCACAGATTATGGTAAATAGTATTTCTCATCATACCACTATAGTCTATAGGTTAAGGTGGCCAACTATAGGTAAACAATGTTGGTATGTCTTTTTAAATTAAACTAGTGGCCCACCCCCGCTTCGTACGGGCACAGTATAAATAAATAGAGATTTCCATATTTATAAAATTCCATATTTATACTGTGGTACGGGTCCTACTATCTCGCTAACAACGAAAGAGTCCCTTTTCCCCAATTTTCCCCTCTACCTTTCAATATTTTCTTTCCTAAGAACCTTCTCCTGACATTAATAAATACAAAACAAAAGGATTTGGCAAAATTGGTCCAGGCGTTTTTGAGTTATGCGCTTACCAACACATTTTGCGATTCATTTTTATATAGGTAACAGAAGAGGTCGTAACAAATGCAAACAGAGATTATTGAATTTAGTTTATTAGCTACTAAACATCGATTTAGGTATATACCTGATTGTAAAAGTTTATAAGTACATATATTCAATTTTTAGATAACTTTAACACGGGCCAAGATTTTTACATTTAGTTAATACCTTAACCGTTAGAATAGACCTGCCGGGGTTGCGGAGTAAGCGCAATGAGGCACCGCGACCTCGGCACAGAGCAGGAGAAGGAACAGGGGGATTTTTAGTCAGTAAGAGTCTGACACTCCCTCCTGCCCGACCCTGGGCGGGAGAAGTCATTTGATGATTTTCGCCTCACAAACCGTTAGAATAGACCTACTGGCTACTCCCATTATATGTTGAAATGGACAATCATCAATTGACTTCTCATCCCCCAGTTAGGGCAAAAGGGAGTGTCAGACTCTTTAACCAGCCCGTTCTTGCTCCTGCTCCAGGCTGTACCCGGTCGCGGTACGTTATAGCTCTTGCCCCACAGCCCCGGCTGCTTATTATCGCATAGTATCTGTATACTATCGTATGCCTTAGCTCAATGCTGATACATTGCACGTTGCGAAGGCGGGACGGGTCGCTAGTACCTACCTATTTAATATTTGTGCGCTTCATAGTTGATGAATAAATATAGGGACCTATATCCCAATCCAACAGGTCCACGAAACAGAAGTAATTGTCCATTGACATATTATGTACTTAGAATTTCACGATCAAAGTCTAAACATTCGTGGGCCTGTTTTAATTAGTTCATTTATTAATGAACAGGAAATAAAATTGGTATTTTTTGATTCGTAAACACCTATGTACATGTATGTTTGTAGGTATAAATAACCTTAACGTTAAGTTGTTAGCAACTTATAATTAAATCGATGCTAATTAATATGTCAACTAGCTCATGTAAGTGGATTTAAGATAGGTATTAAATTTGCTCACTGCAGACGTATTTAATTGGTCTTAAAAATACCTAAAAACAAAATTAATATATTTAAATCCCAGTGTTTAAATATACGGACTAACTTGTTGATTAATTTATTAATTTAAGCGTTATTCTGTGTACTTTTGCAGTATTTTTATAAAGAAAACTTTAACGAATTTTAATTAACAAGTTTTTTTATGTCCCAGCTTTCGGTGGCTCAACATTTGGAGAAGCTCGCCAAGGACATCAATCATGAGTTGCTGTGTGGCGTCCCGTACGCCGCCCTACCACTCGCCGCCGTCATGTCCGTCAACACAAACACTCCAATGATAATGAAAAGAAAAGAAACAAAAATGTATGCCACCAAACGGATCCTAGAAGGAATCTTCGAGAAAAACCAGAAATGCTTAGTCGTCGAGGACGTAGTGACATCTGGTGGCAGCCTTATGGAAACTGTTAGCACATTACGTTCCGAAGGCTTGGAAGTTACACACGCCGTAGTAGTTCTCGACCGTGACCAAGGTGGCGCTACTGTGTTAAAACAGAACGGTATTCAAGTTAAATCAATTTTCACTTTGACTGGTCTGCTGAGAATCTTGAATGAAGCCGGCAAGATTAGTGATGAAACTGTTGATATTATTCTAGAACATATTAAGGAATGCCAGTTTAACAACTTGGATTTCATGAAAGACAACTTAGAGATAATGTCCGTTTAATATTATGACTGAAAATTACGTCCCTAAAGTGTTCTACTATAACATTATGAACCATCTACATTACAGATCATTTTTCTGAATAAAAATAATGATAGTAATTATGTCCTAAGATAGTCATTATTAAATAGTAAATTAAGTAATCAGGTAGGTACTCAGTATTTGCCTAAATAATAATTATTAATTTCTATTTATACATGAAATTAAGTACCTAATGTAACAATTTTTATTTCTATTTAAACTAATATAATATAAGAATAAGTTTTGAACTTAATTATTTAACAAAAATATAGAATTAAGACCAAATAATAGTGTTTTTAATTAGGTAATTATCTCCCGTTCCTTCCCAATGCTTCTCTGTCCTCCGAGCTCAAATAGTGGAGAACTGTGTGGGAGCAGAACTTCTGCACACAAATGGGTCGGCTCGTCCGGAGTGATACCACGACCCACTACCATGAAAAAATGGCGTGAAACAACAGCCGTGTTGTTTCGCCGTGTGAATGAGATTACCGGAGATCCAATCCTTGCCCTCCCTCTAACCCTAATTCTAAAAGGCTGGCAGCGCACTCGTTACTCCTCTGGAATAACGGGCGGCGCTGATTGCTTACCATCAGGTATTCCGTCTCCTCGTTTGCCTGTCACATACAAAATAACTAGGTAGGTACTCAAGTAATCAACAGATAGGTTTAATACGGAGTCCTAGGGTCTAGATAATATAGATAGGTACCTAGTAAACAGCCTTTGTCCAGCCAGGGCAGTCCACTATTTGCTGTTATTTCTTGTTGATAAGTTATTATAGTAGGTAGTTGGGTCCTACGCATTAGACACAGTAAACATTGTTTTATACTGTGCATTAGAATTCATGTTTCCAGTTTCCCTAATAGGTAAATTTTAAACCTAGGTACCTACCCATTTAATTTTACAGCAGTCGAACTTACGTTTGTTAAAAGTACTTAATTGGAATTATAATAATATAGGTAATAACTGAAACAGAGTAGGTAATATTATCATATAGGTACAAAAAAAGGCTATTTTCCTGTTTTGAATAGGTAGGTACTTCATCATCAGCCTATAAGTGCCCACTGCTGAGCAAAGGCCTCTTCTCATACGGAGAAGGTTAGAGCATTAATCACCACGCTTGCTCAATGCGAGTTGGCGATTTCAAACTTATAATTAGAAATTATAAGTCCAGGTTTCCTCACGATGTTTACCTTCACCGTAGTGGTGTCAAAATAATCATAGAAAGTACATACAACTCGGAAAAAGTCACATTGGTAATTGCCAGGTTTTGAACTCACATCCTCATGCATGAGAAGCGGGCTCCGGGGCACCACGACATAGGTAGGTACTTACCTATACCTATTGTGAGATTGTGACTAGGGTGGGTGAGATGAGAAGGCTAAGTGGGTAGGTAGGTACGATACCTATTTATGTTCCTATAATAGGTTGGTAGGCACCTACGTAATTATAAACAATTCACAATGTGTTACTAGGTACTGCACCGTTATCCCGTTGATGAGGAAACGACTTAGTAGGTACGTCCGGTTACAATGCAAATGCTAATCATTGTTTTATATTTGTGCAGGCCACGATTCAGTCTGATATTGTATGGGTGTGATAAAAAATATTGTTTCTATTGGTTTCTCAAAGGTTTGTGTAAGCTTTCTGGAAAAGTTCGTACTAGTGTCTAATAAATTGAATTCCAAGATTACCCTCTGTACACCTATACATCTGTGCGCCCAAATAATTTTTTACACCATTTACTAGGTAGGGAGATATTTCAGAGAAGTTCAGTGGACCATTTTATCGGGATATAATTAGCTGTCGTTTTAAATTCATGTGTTTGCTAATCCCTAGCAAAGGCTTGGTGTTTTAGGTTACCTGCTACTTTGTACGACAAGATGTGCAAATGAGAACCTACATTTCAGGGTAAATTGCTAGTATAAATGAAACGATAGAAGTAAAATCATTGTAGTTTATTACATACTCACTGGAATATAATAATAATTAAAAACCTTTGATCGATTTCGAAATGTTGTACTAGCTTCTTAGTAAAAAGCCAATGAATAACACAATATCTGAACAGTATCAAACAAAGTATTAAAATTAAACTTAGGCATTAAAAAATAGTTCAGCCTTATCAAAAAAAAGATCTTTTCCTTTGTGTCATCAGTGTGTCGACAGCACTGTGTTGGTAGTCAGGCGAAGGGCCCACGTCGCTGGGGGAACCTGTTTACAGCCATAAACATCCGAGAGTCGCCCTTCGATCAAGGAAAACACACACACGGGAATGTAGACGCGACGTAACCAACATGTAGGAACGTCCTACGTAACAAAAATTATAAGTCAACGACGGTACAATTACACGGAAATACTAATGCAAATCAAAAGACGTCCCGTGCGACGCGCCGGACGCTCGGATCGGGGAGCAGGGGTATTAGGGTGTTGGGGGGACAAGAGGTGTGAGTGTTTAGTTGTCTTCGATCTCCTGCTCCTGCTCCTCGTCAAACTCCGCGTCCTCGTCGGCGGTAGCCTCCTGGTACTGTTGGTACTCGGAGACCAGATCGTTCATGTTGCTCTCCGCCTCGGTGAACTCCATCTCGTCCATACCCTCGCCAGTGTACCAATGCAAGAAAGCCTTGCGCCTGAACATAGCGGTGAACTGTTCCGAGATGCGCTTGAACAGCTCCTGGATGGCGGTCGAGTTGCCGATGAAGGTGGCGGCCATCTTGAGACCGCGGGGCGGGATGTCACACACGGCGGTCTTCACGTTGTTGGGGATCCATTCGACGAAGTATGACGAGTTCTTGTTCTGGATGTTGAGCATCTGCTCGTCAACCTCCTTCATGGACATGCGACCACGGAAGATGGCGGCCACGGTGAGGTAGCGGCCGTGGCGCGGGTCGCAGGCCGCCATCATGTTCTTGGCGTCGAACATCTGTTGCGTGAGCTCGGGTACGGTGAGAGCGCGGTATTGCTGGCTGCCGCGAGATGTCAAGGGAGCGAAACCGGGCATGAAGAAGTGGAGACGCGGGAACGGCACCATGTTGACTGCCAGCTTGCGGAGATCCGCATTCAGCTGACCAGGGAACCGCAGACACGTCGTCACGCCGGACATGGTCAGCGACACCAGGTGGTTCAGGTCGCCATACGTGGGTGTGGACAGTTTAAGCGTGCGGAAGCAGATGTCGTATAATGCCTCGTTGTCGATACAGTAGGTCTCGTCTGTGTTTTCTACTAACTGGTGGACTGATAGTGTGGCGTTGTAAGGTTCTACTACTGTGTCTGACACTTTGGGCGAAGGTACAACTGAGTATGTGTTCATAATTCTGTCGGGATATTCCTCTCTGATTTTGGAGATAAGAAGTGTGCCCATACCGGAACCAGTGCCGCCGCCGAGCGAGTGTGTGAGTTGGAATCCTTGGAGGCAATCACATGACTCTGCTTCCTTGCGTACGACGTCTAATACTGAGTCGACTAGTTCAGCGCCCTCGGTGTAGTGTCCCTTGGCCCAGTTGTTACCGGCACCGGACTGTCCGAACACGAAGTTGTCCGGTCGGAAGATCTGTCCGAAGGGTCCCGAACGCACTGAGTCCATGGTACCGGGCTCGAGGTCGACCAGGATGGCGCGGGGCACGTACTTGCCGCCGGAGGCCTCATTGTAGTATACGTTGATGCGCTCCAGCTGCAGGTCGGAGTCGCCATGGTAGGCGCCGGTGGGGTCGATGCCGTGCTCGTCCGAGATGATCTCCCAGAACTGAAACAATCGTAGCATAACATTAATTAAACGAAACAATTTTTAAACTTAAGCTAAATTAGAAAAATACTGTTAGTATAACAATAACCTATTAGCACAGGGCACGTCAGCGTGCGTAGGATGAGTCACGGTCGCCCTGGCGACGGGGTTCGCAACAAACGACAGCTCCCGAGGCGTCGCCTCGACATTAACATATTTACGAGGTCGACGTTATCGATTGATCCAACCCACTACCATAAAGGTACATCAACAATTTAAATCACGTCTTGTACCAATGAATACATATAATTGCAGCAAAAACATTACGGCCGCCCACTTTCGTGTTTATGTCATGTTGCCTTAAAAGAGGAGAGCGCGGATCAAGTTTCTCGTTTGGTCAGACAGCTTGTCGAACAATAAATCAGACAGGTCGGGGTTGCTGTGCTGTGCACATACTCGATTCGCGTGCCATTTTTAGGACGAATCACGCATAATTCTCGGCACAAACTACAAACACAAGTAGTCATCCATTAACATAGCTTCGAGATTTTATCGCGAATCAATTGAGAGGCTTTCTAGGTAAATGAAACTCCGCGAATAGAGAGAACAAGCGATAAGATCACTTGTTGACTCATTCGTAGCGAGATTATAATAAACTTTTTTTTGCAGTACGGTCACGTAACTCCGCTCCATTATTTTCAGAGGTTACCAAGGCTAACAATAGGCAATGGTTACGACTGAAAAAGGATAAGCTTGGTGGTTACTCAGACAGATCACAGAACAAATGTAGGTCCGTGAAACCTACGTTTAGATTCAAATTAAGTAATGCTAGTAATAAAGGCCAAAATATAGACTATTCATCAACATTTAGTCACTATCAAGACTGTTGTAAAGATTACTTTTATCGGAATTAAAGGAAATTAAAGTAATCGTTGAATGTGCGTCATATTGGTGGACGTGATGCGAATAACACATCACGTCTTCATCATAACTTTTATTATAGCGCCTTGTTGGTAGGGACATAAGTAGTACACATTATGTTCCTTCAAAGAAGCGCATTGCTTTTAACGTTGATGTTTTACAGTTTCATTACATTTTATCGGCAGAAAATCGGTCGATTCGATACGTGGATCACGCTACAAAAAGCAGGTCAACGCGGAAGACGCACTGGGATTGGCTTAGCTGGTAAAATCACAGACTGGCACGGAGACAGTCGCGTGTCGCCGACAATTACCATCAATGACATGCAAATAGCTATGAAAGTTTT